TTTTTTATTTTAATTTTAGTTAACTATCAAATATTAAAGCCCTTTATTCTATCTACTCATCTTCACATTTTATTATGGTAAAAGGAATTAAATTTGTCATGTGGTTAGCTGTCCTGAGGATTTAAATGTTAAGAGGTCAAGATTTTTCCTTTTTCCATCTATTATTTCGGGATTTTAGACTTTTGAAGTCTTGTTATTCCAAAAAATCTTCTTGACATGACATGTGACAGATGAAATGGCGTGTTATTTGCTTTGCTCAAAACAAGAAAGATTTATATGACGATCCTTTCTTTTTTCCAAGTGTGGAACTCAGCTTGTGAGTTGATAAAAGAACGTAAATTGCACCTTAAAAATCAGACGATTGACAGAAATGAGGAATGAACTTTTTACACTAAATGGGTTATATGACAAAATGCCTTGGATATAATTCCAAAGACTCTTCAAAGCTAATGTAATTAAGAAAAGCTAAGACTGCAAGGTAAATAAATAATCGCTAAACTACTGAAAATCTAAATGAATTTTAAATACGCAAACTGAATTGAAACAGAACTTTAAAAGGAAATTTAATTGCAGCAAAAGTAAATTAAGGTAAAGTAAATAAATCTTGAAGCATGAAAAATCTACTGGCAGCATGAAATGTAAATTAACATAAATGGAACTAAACATGAAATTAAATGTCGACATCATTTGATTAAATTAAAGGAAATTTGGAAAACAAATAAAAAGGAAAGGAAGCAATCCGATTACAAAGAAATATTACTGAAGGCAGCGAAACTCACAATTACAAATTCGACAAAAAAAGAACCGAATTGCTAAACTAATCTAGGTTGTAGCATAGAGATAAAACTAAACTAAAAGGCTTGAAACTAAGATGAATCGAGCATAAAGAGAAATTGTGCTGAGTTTGTTGTGTGAGATGTCGATCCTTTGCTTGATCTTATCATTAGGTATTTATAGCAACTTAACAGCATGGTAGAGATCTGCGACAACATCCTAAAAAACCAATGGCAATGTAATATCTGCAACAAATTGATTAATTTGTTGGTGCTGCGATTATCCTCCTGAAAACTCGTAATAAAAGACCGATTTTGCTGCCGTTGTGGAAATAACCACTCAATCTCATTTGAAGAAATTCACACCAACTTTCAACTAATAAAATATCTGTCATTGATGGCAACACATGGTAGCACTCCATTTGTTGTAAAATTAGTTGTAAACAAGTACTAAGCAGGACTACTATTTGTGGCGAACTGATGTAGAGGGTTTGACCAAAATGAAGGCGAAACTCATGCTTATGCTGTAAATAAATGGAGGGCTGGTGC